TAAGCTGAATTTGTTACTTCAATTTGAAATTTTTTGCTATTATAATATATAGTAGATAAATATCTGTATATAGGAGGCTTTTATTTAGATTTGTCTCTTTCTTAATCTCTCTATCTCTATTATCTATTCATAGTATTGTCTTTATGTTGATAAGAACTTTGGACTTGTTCCAACTAACAATCATACAAATAAATTTTGCAATTATCGATATATGTTTTGCTCCAATTATTATAGATTCGAATTCCAATTATAATGAGACTCAAAGTAATCTATAGTTGTTCTCATAATATTTTGAATCACAGGGTATCTTCCCTATGCCCTTCTCTGAAACTTCTTCTGGGCTCTTCTCTATATTTCTGTTTTCTTCATATTAATCGTCGAATTATGTGTAGTTCTTCTATATACACATACATACATACATATGTATATATACTGTTGCTTTTATATTTGTTTCGCTATTCGCTAATTTAAATGACAGCTCAATGAGCTCAGCCACAAGGGCGATGACAACAGAGCCCAGTTGTCCGATGGTTGGATGACCATTGCCCACTGCATAATGATGATGATGAGGTTGATGAGGATGGCGATAATGATGGATGATGAAATGTGCTTGCTCATATATATATTTTCGTAATTATTTAAAAAGGCGCACAGCAAGAAACTGCAATTAATCCATAGATTTTAAAATTAACTTCAAGTCTGACAAATTAATCAACTCAACTGAAATGAAGAGTCATTGCAGATGAATCTAGTTCATATACTGGTTCCACTTAGTGGTAAATTGTATATAATTTATATACAATTATACATATACTCTTTAAAATATATTTTTCTTTCTCTTTTCTAGTCTTGTTAGTCCTAATAAAATTGGATTAAATTTTCATTTTAGCAATTTAATTTAATTAATTTTACACAATATTCATTCCAATCTATGGAGAACCAGTTCCAATTTCGTTAGCTTCGTAACTTTCCACTCACATATTATAATACATGCAAATACGACGACAATTAATTAAGTCGAATCAAGAAATCAGCGAGACGTTTGCAATTGTAGTTCCGAATAAAAGACCTCTATTCCTCCCTCCCTCTCTCTCTCTCTCTATCGCACTCTTCCCTTCCTTTCTTTCATGCTTTCCCCATCTCACTCTTTGGCCTCCCACACGGCTATCAATTTACCCATTTTGTTATCCAATTGTTCGCTTGAATTATTTAACCAGCTTCAACTGAATCTGGCTAGTGGTTTAGCTATTATATAAAGATAACAAAACATATACATATATACGTACTTTTTCTCTCTTTCTATGCCCCCACGGCCACTCTTCTTTATCCCTCTCTAACTATTGATATACTTTCATTTTCATTCGATTGAGTGGGGCTACGGTTCAGTCTGAGATCTTAACCACATAAAAGCCGTCAATCAGTCAGCAGCTTCCACTTAATTTTTCGCCTCTACACTTGATACAACACACGATTTTCCTAGCTTCCATCGTTGCTCTGTCTCCCTTTACACACACACACACACACTCACTCACTCACACAAACATGTGCCGCAAGCAAGCAAGTGCACTTGCAACAACTTGTGCCCTTGCCACATTGCATCAATCAGAGTCGAGCCGGCGCAGCACTTCAATAACCACCAACTGGACAACTTCTGGGCCAAAAGGAAAAGCAAGAAAATTTGTCTTATGTAAAATGCATAACAGGCAAGCCAGCTGTCAAGTGCAGCCCATTTGTGTACCCCTTGTAAATGGCCAAGTATGAGTGGGGTATATCAGACTTTAGAGCGTGAATGGGTCAGAAAAGTGATATTCAAAAATTGACGGTTATATTTTACATTTATAAGAAATCTTTGAAAAACTAAGGATATTAATCTAAAATTTAATAAGAATAATAAAATAAAGGTATTGAAAGTTATCGTTCACATTCACTCATTTACAGGATATCTAGCTAGTCGATCATTTTCAACATAATTTCCCACATGTTTTGTCTCCGCTTGTTTTACAGGCATTACAACGCAAAAGCTGTTGCTAAGCCGGCAAAGTCGGACAAAGCAGATGAGACAGACAGACAAAGAGTGAACAAGTGAGTGAGCTAGAGAGAGAGAGAGAGAAGGATATTCGCTGCATTACTCATACGACTCGTTGTCTCGAGTTGGGCGTCTACTGCTGGCCCTGCCTGTGTCTTTGCTGTGGTTATTTTTAATGCCAAGCCACATAATTCATTGTAATTTGCCAGCCGTTTCACATTTTCCAGTTGCAGTTGTCTTTATGCCAGCATATACAGACATACATCCACACATACAGATACATAACATAAGTGGCCATAATCAGCTGTGGCTGTATGTGTGTTTGGGAGGGGCCTTGACTTTGTCTTTGGCACTAAACTTGGCAACGGCTCTACCCCATTTGCAGTTGATCAATCAATTTATCAGACTAACACACACTTACAGTGACTCACACAGTCTCACACACACATATGCCCACAGATTCATACCCACATACATAACAAATTAGTCATCACATAACTGTTTGACCAAACGAATGACACAACTGTCACCAACAACAACAACAACAACAACAACATACCTAATCCATAAACAGAATATTTAAAATGATATTCACCGCATTGAAGCACAGTAAATACCCTACGACAAATGTTACAAAATTCCAGTTTGATGGGAAAAATAATAAAAAAAATATTTTTTTATTTATTTATTTAAGTCATTTTGGAACCAGTTATGTGAACATTTTTGATGCGTCGCGCATGAGGAGAAAGAGAGAAAAGATGCATTTAGTATAGTCACTTATGAACTTGTGAAGTGGTTCACTTTCATAATGAACTGGTTCAATATATTGTCGGCGAACTGGTTTATCGTATTATTAATGAACTAGTTTCTAAGAAACAGAGAGATAAGCTAAAACTTTCGACTTTACAAATATTTTCAAACTTTTTTAAATATTTGTTAATGAGTAGGATTACATTTTTTATTAAAAATTATTTACAAATGGACGTGTACTTGAAATAAAGTTAGTTTATATTTCGTTGATTTGATTTATGAACCATACCAACCATACCATACCAATTAGCGTTAGCTCTTTTAAGCCATTTCTTTATGCTAATCATAAAAGTATTTTTACTATTCAACCTAAACTTTTTCCTAGTTCAAGCCACGCAACAACAAAATTACTTTTGGGGTATAAAGCTTTCTTTCTCTTTTCCTCGATCTCTCTGCCTCCCTTTCTCTCCTTACAATTGAGCGAAAATTTGTGCGCTTTAAAGTGCGCTTAATTGAAGCGACCTTTTGTGTCACGCCCCTGTTATTGTTGTTGATGGGCAACGATTGAAGCCCCGTCCCCGTCCCCCTTCAGCCCCATCATCTAGCTAGCTAGCTAGCTAGTTCGCCTGCTTGGTCGCCCACACACGAACTTTTTCTCAGCTAATTTCATTGATGAATTTTTATTAAATAAATTATTATAATGAGACAACCTCTGGAGGGCCCCCTTTGGGGCATGTTGCAAGTCAACGAACGAACGTCTATAAAAGATGGCAGAAATAAAAGCCAGAAAGCGAAGAGCAGAGGAGAGGTAGAGCAAAAAAGTGGCACACAACAAAGCGCACAAATTTTTGGCACACAAATGTGGCGCGTGTTCGCACTTTACTGCAGACCCCAAGCCCGTCGCCCCAAACTCCCCCAGCACTGGAACCGCAACCGAGCAAGAATTCCAAAGAAAAATCTGGATAGGACTGAGTGTTACGATATCAATACGAAGCGCGTTCAAACAATTGCGTCTAAATTTAGTACACAGCATTAGAAATGTCCACAAATCGCAGCTCAGGGTCTGTCGGCACTATAAATAGCTCTCAGCTAGCCTAATTGATTATAAGAACACAAACTCGGACAGTCGACACAAATGTTTGGACAGCACAAATAGACGCCGATAAGGAAGAGCTGCGATACTAAACAAAGCTGGAACGTTCGTTCGACTGCCAAATGAATGAACAAGAATTTTTGTGAATGAACCGAACCGAAACTAAATGACTGACAGAGGCAGAACAGATGCTGAAGATCAACATCATAATCACAAACTATAAATTAACATAGAATGAGCATTTTGAAAAGAATTTCTGATCTATATATATAATGCTATAAAAATGATTGTTTGCAAGTGTTGTTACCGAGAAATTATAGTATAATTTGCTGGAAAAATAGATATACTATAATAACCTATGATCTATTGAAATAAATAATCGGTCGAAGGCTAAGCGATATTTTTATAACATTTTGATTTTATTGCCGCAGGCAATAGGAAATAGATTTGATCGATAAGGATAAATTGATATTATTATAAAATTCAAAGCAATAGTTTACATTCAAATATAGATATCCTCCTCATATCCTTTTATTCATGCCTAACTCAATTGAGTGCTATCGACACATCCATTGTATCATCTCCTTCGATATCGGCAATTAAATAGTCTTATCTACATTTGCTAATTTGCTGTCTGTTCTGAGTTATCTTTACCCATATTACGCATATCTGTGATGACTCATATAAAATTTTTTGGGCACATCTCCCGATCTATCATGCAGTTTATTTAAAGCACATGATTTCACATCTGGGCAGTGCATTTCTTTCGCTCAGCTAGCGAACGAGAATGATTTATGCTTAAAGTGTGGAATCAAATCAATCTCAATTGAAAGGCAACGCTCTGTTATTTAGAATTTTGAACTATAGGTCTCTTGATATGAATGTGGGAATGCTGGCAAAAGTAATCGAATATATTTTCAGAATTTATATCATTTAAGTATCATCTACCGTCATATATAATAGATGTTTATTTTTCAGTTCCCTTCTACGTTTTTTTATTTTTATTTTTAGATATTATCTATTAAACAATATAGGATTAAGTAAAATATTCCATTCCATTGCTAAGACATGTATATTTTATATATTATGATTATGATTCTATAACTGTAATATTTTCATATTTGCACTTACCTTTCAGTCTCTGATTCTGCATTTGGTTGCTGCTGTAGCTGTTGTATTTGTTGCTGTGTTGTTGTTGATGATGTTGCTGCTGCTGTTGCTGCGGCTGTTGTAGAAGCAGCCGATGTTGCTGCTGCTGCTGCTGCAGTTGCCACTGATGTCGATTGTTGCTGTTCGTCGCTCAATGCAAGCGATGTTGTCGTTGCATCCACTGCTGTTGCAGTTGCATTTGTTAAATTCACATTGCTGTTGGCACTGACACTCGCGATATTTGTTGGCGGTAATTGTGGTTGAGTCTGTGATGATGTTGTTACTGCTGCTGCTGCTGCGGCTTGTTGCTGCTGCTCGTCAAGCACCAACTGCTGCACATCGGCAATTGTTGCTGGCGCGCTTTGCAACTGCATTGCAGGTATTGCTGCTGGTGTTGCTGCAACAGTTGTTGGCTCGTAATTGTTCAGATGCGTCAGCAATGGCAACGTTTGGCCAGCTGCAACTGTTGCTGCTGCATTAACTACAGTGGCTGCTGCCACTGCTGTTGCTGTGCCGGCAACTGTTGCTGCTGTGCTAGTGGAAGTGTTTGAAGTCTGATTTGCCGCTGCTACGGCTGCTGCTGCTGCTGTTGCAGCTGGGAATGCTGCAGTGGCCGGTGCAATGCCATCGATTTGCGATGTTGCCTGTGGCTGTTGTTGTTGTTGTTGCTGCGGCTCCAACTGGAAGTTCGGCGGTGGCTGTTGCTGCCCGGCAGCAACTGCTGCAAATGTGGGCGGCGGTGCCTGAGGCGTTTGCGTGGCCGGCGACAATGGCTGCTGCTGCTGCTGTTCCACATAGCTGTTGCTCATGTTGCTCTCCCCGACAACAACTGTTGCTCCTGTGCTAGCAACATTTGTGTTGCTGTTGTTGTTATTGTTATTGCTGCTGCTGTTGTTGCTGCCGCTCGTGGCCGGCAAATAGCCTGCACTCGTATTGCCTGCCACATCCATTGCTGCCGCAGCGGCCGCAGCTGCTGCTGCTGCGAGCTCCTGTTGCTTCAGCTGCTGCAGCGACTGTTGCAGCTGTTGGGCCGCTGCTGTGGCATAGTCCATTGGCAACGTTTGACCATGCTGCGACCCCTCCGCATTGGCATTGGGCGTGCCTGCATTAGCATTGACGCTGTCATAGAGTTGCTGCTGTTGTTGTTGTTGCTGCTGCTGCTGTTGTTGCTGCGCTTCGCTGTTGGCCGCATTTACAAATTGCTGCATGCCATGCACCACAGTGGCAGGGGCGGTCATTACACCGCTGGGCGTGCCCGTCATGTGTATGCCAGTCGCCGCACCGCCAATTGTTGCTGCCCCATTGCCAGCGCCCGCCTGCAACTGTTGCTGTTGCGTCTGCTGCTGCTGCTGCTGCTGGTCGGAATAATTCCAATTGGCATCCGCCGAGGCCGCCTCCAAGTGATTCTCGTGCAGCATACTCGGCGGCAAAATCATGCTCTGCGTTGTCTTTGGGATATCGCAGCCACCCTCCAGCATGTTGCTGCCGGGCCCGATGCCACCAGCACCAACACCCACACCAGCACCAACACTTGCCGATGTGCCTTCCGTGTTACCAGTCTTTTCATTGTTATTGGCCGCACCCACACTCGAGTGATCCAGATAATCCATGCACATCCAGCGGCCACGCTTGAACGGCTCCGTCGACTCGATCTTGACCACCTTAAAGCGTTCGCTGCGATGTTGCGTCTCCTTCATGTCTTCCTTTTTCTTGGTGCCGCCTGGCGTCACCGCCGCGCTAACCACATTGATGATATTATCCGAGACGTTCACCTGGACGTTCTGTATGGTCTGGCCCAGCGCTGGGCCAATCGGGTCTACCACAACGAGGCCGTACTGTGAACTGGTGGGTATCACCGGCGCTGTGGTGCTCAATGCATTGTTGGCAAAGAAGACTTCCTCCTTGGAGAACGTGTCCTCCGACATGGATGGCGTTTCATTCTCTAGATCTGTAATCCGACTATTGTCATCCGTATGAGATTCATCTAGATCATCGGCAGACTCGTCGCCCGTGTCGCCGGCAGCATTCAGCTTGGCGTGACCCACAGTCACCGAGGTGATTTGAAATGAGGAAGTCGTCTTTGGTTTGCGATTGTTGCCGCCGACAGAAGATGCTGCGGCTGCATTAGTTGCAGCTGCTGCTGCTGCTGTGGCTGCTGTTGACTGATGTCCCTGGCTGTGGCTGGTGTGATGCGGATGATGATGATGCTGGTGATGATGATGGTGCCCATGATGCGCCGACTGCTGCTGCTGCTGTTGCTGCTGCTGCTGTGGCCATGGCGCTGTAATGTTACGCAGCGCACCGCCATTGTTGTTGGGCGAGCTGGGCTTGTTGTTGCCAGCAGCATGGCTGGTGTTGGTGCTGCTGTTGCTGCTGCTGCTAGTTGCCGCTGTGGCCGTTGTCGCCGTCGAGTGATTGCTGCTGCTCGATTTCGGCGCCAGCGACAAGCTGCTGTTGCTGCTGGCACGCGATACACTCACGCTGCCGTCAGCAACTGTTGCTGTTGCTGGCGTTGCATTGCCGCGACTCAACGCATTCAAGCGCAGGCTTTCGCTGGTGGTGCGCTGAATGTTGTTACTGTTGTTGGTGCTGTTGCTGTTGTTGCTATTGTTGCTGTTGTTCTGATGCGCATGCGCCTGCTGATGATGCAAGTGCGAGACATGATGATGATGATGTTGCCCGCTGCCGCTCAGCGAATTGACCTTGGTCAACGGCGGCTTCTTGATGCTGGTGGTGCCAACCACGCCCACAACGCCACGCCCCGGCGTCTGTATGGAATTGCGACGAGCGGGCGCATTGCCCGCACCAGCAGCTGCCCCACCTGTGGGCTTGAACTTTGCATTCAGATGGCGATCGAACATGTTGATGCTGGCGCGTTGCTGTTGCTGTGGTATATTGCTCGACCGGCGTACTCCCGCTGCTGTTGTTGTTGTTGTTGCTGCTGCTGCTACTACTGTTGATGTTGCTGTTGCTGCTGTGTTGGCTACGATGCTGTGCGTCTCCTGTGAACTTTCGGGCGATGAGGCTGCCGAATTGCTGCCGCTGGCCTGACCGCTATTTGCAATTGTTGCTGCTGTGCTGAGCTGATGCTGATGTTGTTGTTGATGTTGCTGCTGTTGCTGTTGTTGCTGTTGTTGCTGACCGGAATCTTCGTTAGCAGCGCTTTGATTCTCGGCCATAATCGAATTGGATTTCAGCGTGCGCAAAGTTTTCAGCAAATAATCCAGTTTTGCTGACAATTACTCTTGGATTATTTGTGGACGAAGAAAATGATATATGTGCTAGTATATATTTAAATTTTTTGTTTTTGGTATTTTAATTTAATGTTTTTATATATATATATATATATATTTTTTGTTTTTTTTAGTTAGAGTTGCTGTTGCTGCTGGTTATTGGCAATTGTTGCTGCGATTTGCCCACTTCGAAGATGAAACTAGCGGCTGCCAAACGACGACGACGATACATAGCGAACCGCTGCGACCGTTACAGGTGCAACTCAAATGACGAACTGCGACGGTGGCGACGACGACGACAACCGACAAACCGTAAACCGAAAAGCGCGAAACAGTTGTAGCAATTGTTGCTGCTGCGATTGCTGTCGATGTTGTTGTTGTTGCTGCTGTTGTTGATTTTGTTATGCTAAGTAATAAATTGAAATTTATTTGTTGTTGTTGCTTAGCTATATAATTCGGCTTTGCGCGTTTTATTAGCAACAATCAGAGGAGCGCGGCGCGCAATAACTAAATGAGCCGCCAGCTCGCAGAGCAGCGCCATCTAGCGGGCACATACAGAGGCACACACACGCACACGCACATACACAGGCACAGGCACATACACACACATACAGCACAGCTGTTGTAAATATTATTTACTTAAATGTAACACAAATATTTATTTTAAATTAATTTTTCTTTTTGGATTTTGGATTTTGGATTTATATTTATATATATTTTATGTTATTTTATTTTATTTTTTAATTATTTAACTATTTGTTGTTGTATTTGTTTAACTAAGAATTTTAATTTAACTTTAGCATGAAATTAAAAACTTTGTTATTGTTGCACTTTTCTATATAACCAACAAAAACACACACAAAATTGATTTTTGCATTTGTTTTGTTTACATTTGCTTTGTTTTGCTTTTTATTATGATTTCAATTTCCTGGTGCCCCGTTTACTAGCAATGCAGTAAGCTGTAGAAATTTAATTCCTGCAAAGAGAGTGAGTGAGAAAGAGAGAGAGAGAGAGAAATTTAAAAATAAATATAAATAATTGATTTAAGTATTTTGTTTAGCGAGAATCGAATTGAATATGTCATACGAGTTGAGTTATTCGAGTAGTTTATTTAATCAACGACTGCCAGGCACACACATTGGACGCCATGATTAAAGTGAAATTCTCCGATGACTATTAAACAATGGGAATGTGATATGAGCTATGCATAAGTCTGGAGAAACGTAAATAGCTTCTATAGATAAGGTGAATAATATTTACTTTGGAGCTCTCATTACAAAGATCTTTCTGTCTCTGCGAAGGGAAGCTCTGTGGGGACTCTTGGCATAAGTTATTAAGCTGTGGGAATTATTTGAATCAACCTTTGGACAACTACATACATATAATATCAATTAGATAAATATATTCCATCAAATCTTCGATAAGTCGTACAATAAAATAAGTCTAAAGAAATCTATATACCTATGGAATATTTCAATTTTGCATTTCTGAAGAAGTTATACTACTACTATAATACGTATAAGACATCGCTTCAAGATATGACTAGAATTATCGATTAGACTCCATCAAACTATTTGCCTTCTATAAATAGCTACGTCTATCTGCCTTTAAAGAATTCTGAGAAGTTACTCTTAACTTTATGTTATAGCTCTTATCTGATTCTTCTCTATTTCCAATTGCTTATGAAATAGGAAAAGTTTAAATAGTTTATAATCTATAGTCAGTTTTAACTACTTAAAAGCGGAAAAGAAGTTGAGCAAAATGCTAACTTTATATCACTGGAAATGCTCAAGTTTCAATGTTCCTAACTAAGTTTAGAGACAGAAGTTAAGAGTAATAAAATGCTCTAATTAAAACATTAGACAAGAAATGTTTGTCTTATGTTTTATAGCGCATTGTTTATACAATGATTTATGATCCATATATAACGAATATACGATTTGAATATAATATCTAAAAATTTATGAACCACTGAAAATTGATTTAAATATGACAAATTTGACTAAATTTCATGAAACCTTTTACAGCATTATATATCAAAAATCTAAAAAATATCCTCTTAAAAAATATCTTGAATTTTTAAAATAAATTATTAAATTGTTATTTGACCTATTAAATCTTGTTTCAGCTTTTGATGCTAGATCATTTCGAGCGCTCAGAACATTTTCTCTTCTAGTTCTATCTAAATCACATACAATCTCTTAAACCTTAGCTATATCTATAGCACTAGGTTTTACTGCTACTCGTAATAGCTCGTCGTAGTATCATCTTTGAGCAGTTGATTTCATAACTGCGTAGTATTTCTTTTCAGATTATGATATTCCGCTGATGATCATCAACATGTGGCTATTGATGATGATGAAGATGATTTCGAATTTTTCTTGGCTCATGTTTTTTCTTTGTTGTTTTTATTTGAAATTTTTTAAAATTTTTGTTATATATATATATATTGATTTAATTATTTCCGTTTTACGGCGTAGTTTGTTGAATTAGTTAAGTGGCACACATTAGACTTGGCCTTTCTTTCGTGCTTTTTTTTTTTTTTTTTGCTAAAGTCTAAAAATTATTTTTAAATATTTACTTTTTTCGGCAGTTTTATCTTCCATTCAATTTTTGTTCGCTTTTGTTTTGTTGTTTTGTTTGTTGTTGTCATTATTTAATTGATCTCGTTTACGGAAATAAACGCGCAATTGACGTTGCCAAATTCAATAACAAACGACAGTCAGAAAAACAACAATGTATAAAAGCTTAGAGCGTTGACACGTAAAATCCCTGACTAAAATCATTCAAATTAATATTATAAAAAGGTATGCCTAATATTTTTAGTAGATTTCTAGTCGTAACGAAATCGTTGTATATACAAAAGCGCCTAATTTTAATTTTTGTTGTTGTTGTTAAATAAATTTGAGTATAAAAATGTATTATTTTGTTTTGATTTGAAATCCTCAATTTTTTTTTTTTGATGATACGGCAGCTAACTAACTTTTAAAATACTTTACTCAAAAAAAAAAATAAAATAAAATTAATATAAAAAATAAATAAATAGTTGTAATATATATTATTTGATTATGTATTATATTTAATATTATTTATATAATTGACATATTTCTTACAAGCCTAATAATATATTCAATATGCCAACTACAGAAATACTTCATGAAAACAAAAAATAAAAATTTCGCAAAAAAAAAAAGGCAAATGCGTATATGAACGGATGTGAGTGTTTGTATTTGTTAATAGCCGTAAGCTTTGGCGATCATTCATAAATTTCGTGAACTGTTTAACTTTCATTTACATGCGTGTGTGTGTGAGTGTGTGTGTGCGGGCGCGTGTATTTGACGTTTCAAACTTTTGCGTGTGCCCCCGGCCCGAAGGCAAAGCTAAGACCTTGAATCCAAGACTATTTGACATGAAAGAAACGCGACAAACAACAACTTTTTGGCAAATGAGAAAATAATCAATTAGAAAAAAAAAAAAAACTTTGTAGAGGTAGAAGAAGAAAAAACAAAGCGTCGATCAGTTATAGGTCAACTCTGTTCAGGGTAGAACAACCACACAGACAGGTGGAAGGTCCATTGGCCTTGTGCTGACTTAATTTGAAGGTTGAGACCAGAATTAATCGGCAATTAGTGTGCGAAACACGTTGAACAAGGCATTAAAACAAATATGCGGAGAGCTTAAGAATTTTTGTAGATTTATTTAAGATGTTGTTTTTAACAAAACAAAGAATCTATTAAGATATTATGTTAAGGATATTCTCTAATAAAGCCGACAGCTGGTTAGAAGAAAATGATATCATTGTATCTAATAAAATCTTTAGACATTAAAAATAAACACATAGTATGGAACGCTTAAGAAATTTATAGATTTTCTAGATAAACAAGATCTTAGTTTAAAAAAAAAACAAAGAATCTATTAAGATCTTATGACAAGGATATTCTGTGGAAAAGAGTCGAAAGCAAGCTTGAAGAAAACGAAATCAATGAGATATAAATATTTATATTTTTATAGAGCATGGTAAATTCTAAGTAGACTATAATGTATTATTATATTCCATATCTAAATAAAAGAATCTGAAGTCGAGCAAATTTAATTGGATTCTCGCTGTGATTACCTTCGAGGCCCATTTGGAATTCTATTAGACGCAGTTAGCTTAGATAACTGTTATTTATGCCTCTGTGCATGCCACAACACAATGGCAATCAAAGTATCTGATGGCTGGAGGTGCAAGAATTGCACTCGCTTCCAAGTGTATACAACAGATACGATTTGCCTTAAAGGGGGAGGTGGAGGGAGGCGCCACTGCCTGCCTCAACAGAGACGACAAACAATAAACGGAAGAACAACAATAATAACAAGCGCAAAGCAAAGCGCAGCAGAAGAAGAACAAGATGAGAAGGAGAGAGAGAGAGAGAGAGAGAGAGTAGAAAGAAGAACTAATTGCAACGACAAAGTATAAAATCGATGAAGCAAAAAATATAATGAAGAACAACTACAACAGATAGCGCAGCGAAAAAAAAACCGACTGTGGCCTGTGAGATGCAGGGAGGCAGAGTGAGATAGGGAAGCAGCGAGAGAGTGAGAGCGACAGAGAGTGCACAAAGAGAGCGAGTGCGCGTTAAACAAATTGCAACAATTTTGCCATAGAGCAGAGAGCTAAAGAGGGGCAGCCTGTTGGCCTCCTGCCTACACTCACTCACACACTGAAGACAGGCAAAGCAACGTGGGCGCCTACAAGTGAGGCGGGGGCGACGGTGAAGCCTGACACGGGGAGCCAACATACCAAACAAACAGTGCAAATTGCTAAAACGAGAGAGAGAGAGAGAGGTTCGTTCGCGCGATGCAAGAGAGCAAAGCTGCCGCTGCTGCTGAGAGTAAATGCCAGCGCATTGTAGGCGCTCTCTCTCTCTCTCTCTCTTTTAGTGCAAGACAGCTGCCGGTAATCAATATTGATGATGATAGCAGTGGCAGCGACTGCGACGGCAACGGCGACGGCGACTGCGACAGCAGCCGCAACGAAGATAAAGACCAAAAGGGAAAAGGTCAAAGTGAAATGCAAAATCAAAGCGCAACAAAGCAAAATTAATTGCAATTTAATTAAACGAAATCAATGCGAATGAGAGTGCAACATGAAGAGACGTACAAGAGAAAGACAGAGAGAGAACGAATCGAAGAGAGAGGAGGATAAACTGATGCAAAAGCAGCACAGAAAAGTTGATGAAGAGCCGCAAAAAAAAAAAAAAAAAAACGGATGAGCAAAAAAGATATTGCATATCCATGAGATATGCAAAAAAAAATAATAAGAGAAGAAAAAATTCAATTATTAAAGCAAATCAAATCAAATCAAGGAAAATAAATAGCAGACAAATCAAACAGACAATCGAAATCGAAATAGTGATAAACTAGAATACACCCTCGAGGAAGAAACTTCGCTGATGCTAAGATTTTTTTTTATATGTAATCGATATATACATATGTATATATACTAAAACTCGAGCTGAATCATTCTATATATATATGAATTTACTTTAGGTAGTATATAAACTTTAGTTTATTTCTATATTTATCATTATTTTCGAAATGGGCTTTATATATGATCAATCATCAATGGACTGTACACTCTACGCCTCATCTTACAGGGTATCCATACATTTTTGTCAACAATAAAACAGCTACAGACGTGACTCGACGCATGCTTTATTCACAGCTCTACCCTCTCCGTCCCAATTGACTTTCTTATACGAATAAGAAGAATATTCCATCGATTTTATTCAACGTCTTTTGTTGCAATCGCTTTGCGAAAAAAAATTTGTTCAAACAAACAGTTAATCCATAGACATATATATAGATCGTATTTCTAAACAGAAATCAAACTTGAGACAAATTATAAAAAAGAAAAAACATATAATCAAAATGCGCTCGACTTTAGCTGATGACACAGCAGAAGTCGGAAAGAAGAAGAGAAGAGACAGAATAAAGGAATGAAATTTGAGACTATATTGAGAGGAAATCAAGACGAGCCTGCAACTGTGCCTCATGTGGCAAGTACAATACAAAATTTCCTCTTGTCTGTTTCAAGGTTAAGCAAAATGGAATCTGACCAATTGGTCTATAAGAAAATATGAAAGATTTTTAGTGTTCCAATTGGCTGACAAATTGAAAATGCAAAGGAGTTTTAAAGCAGAGCAAATATAGATATATTCAGAAATGTAAGATGATAGTGAATCAACTTATTCAGATAATCTATAAAATATTATCTCGATTTCTGTTACATAGCTTTATCTATAGTTGAAGATTTGAGCATGTATGAGATAAATGTAGCTGATTAGATCCCACTGATGTACGCTACATGTACAAGCTGAATTTCTGCTTCAAAACCTATATAGTTTACGTATCCATATGTATATAATTGAATAATGTATATATAAATATAATATATTATTGTGTTTGCACTCACACAGCACCCGATGATTGGGTAAGGGTATGGGAGAGCTAATATTCCGTAATAGGCTTATCCAACTGGACATTTAGTCATCATCGACGTCTCGTATTACCTTAATTGGAATTACACTAACTTTCGAGCTGAGGGGAGAACTGGAGGAGGGCTTCTATAACATTGAAATTCTTTGCTCGCACAAATTTCCTTATATTTTATTTATGGAAAATGAAGTTGAATTGGTCGAGTGTAAACAAAGTGCAAACAGCTGATTTATTTATAAACAAAATGACTAAATTGCTTTGCCAGCTGTTTTCCAATAAGACCAATCAGAAAAATCTATACGTGTGTGTGTGTGTGTTTGTGCGTGTATTGAACAAAGATAGCAACAATAATGCGAAAAGGTACAAAGTGCAGAATGCTGCCAGCAACAACAGCAAACGCAGCGAAGACGAAGCGAAAGTGAACGAAAACTACAACAACAACGCATTTAATTCTCTGCACCAACAACAACAGCTGCAAGGATGGGCGGACATAGGTTGCGACGTCAACGTCGATTTCCAAACGGCGTAGCGACTCACGCACAATTGTACACACACGCACACACCTTACATTTTTTTCTTAGTTATTCTTCATTGTTTAGTACATCACTTTGTTTTTGTTTCTTGTATTTATTTAATACACTCTATTGTTTATTTGTTTTTGTTTTACTTGCTTTTCTTGGCTTTTTTTGTGTCTTTTCACATCGATTTGTTGCACTGTGCAGCTGGCGACTGCGCCGCAGCGTCGCTGCTTGCGAAGAATTTTGCAAACCGAAATTAACTTACAAAATTCGCATTTAGTTTAATTTATGCCCGTTTCTCTTCTGTTAATTTGTATGCATTTCAATTCAACGAAATTATAACGTAAACTGAACGCGACAAAGAAATATGTTTTCTTCGATTTGCAACTAAAATAAAAAGCAACAAAAAAATCGGACAAAAGGAATCATTTTTGACGTGAGCAAGACTACGAGAGCGGGAGCTGAGAGAGCGCCACACACAGCAGCACCAGTAGCAACAGCGCGTGTGAGAGAGGGGCAGTAAGTGAGAGAGAGAGAAACATTAAGTAAGCGAAGCTCGTGCATGGCAGATTTGCAAAAAATTTATTTTTTTGTTTTTTTGCAAAAAAGAAGAGTAGAAAAGGCCAAGCCACTTTAAACGGCACAACAACAACAATCAGGGGTATTAAACGTCGGTCGCTACCAAAAAAAACTTTGGATTTTTCTCTCCACTACACACATACACACACACATTGATATGCATGTATGTACATGCACACACAATCGTCGGCGTCCACACATATGCATATATATATATATATATTTATATATTTGTTAACTGCTTAGCACTTATATTTGTTGTTGTTGTTTTTCTTCTTTTTTTTGGTAAATTATTCACATTTTCATCGCAAATGTTGCATTGCTTTTTGTGCCCGTTTCTTATTCAATTTGCACGCACACACACACACACTCACACGTACACACAGACACGAAATGTAGAGAGACACACACACTCATGCACTCACTTTACACATTTTTTTGTTATACGATTCGGCACTGCGTTGTTTTGGGTGCGAATTGATTTTACATTTTGCGCTTAGCTTGTGGCTTGACATTTACTTATTTATGCTTGCGCTTGCGGTATTTGTTGCTATTTTCAATTACAAACTTTTCACCTTGAAATTTTTACGGCAGGCTCCGAACGGTCGACAGATTGTGGCGGTCGGGCGATAGACGGTCGGTACGTTGCAACACTGACTCGTGCAGTGTGACCTGCGAGGCGATACTAACAAATTACCATGCTGTCGGCAAAATCAAATGACCGAGAATACCGCAATTGAATGCATTTTGACAGTTTAGCAACACTAATATTTGGTATTTATTTTATATTGTTATTAATTTATCCATTAAACATTAAGTAAATAATTATATACTGCTGTGACTTTTATTTATAAAATATTATGCATATAAATAAAAGTATAATATACTATAATAAAACATAATCATCTGGGCTTTTAGCGTAAAAGTAATATGAACTTCTAGATATTTTTATATACCGCATCTGCAATCAAATTTTATCCCACATTATTTCGATTTTTATCCCATCAAAGCTGAATTAAATTTGTTTAGACTAATTATTATATTTATTTCAGTTTTTATTCAATCTGCCGGCCTATCGATATACAAATGAAACTATCGTTAACACGTATCAAATGCGTACGCTTCGCACAACTGTTCTTTGGGTGTGCTCGAGCGTTCATCAAGCTCAACAGTTGTGCAAGCGCTGCCCTTGGTGGCGGTTACAATTCAAATTTTTATTAAGGTGTAACTGGAATTTTTCAACATAATTGTACAAGTTCTGTTTGTATTTCTTTGCAACAAATAAATAGAACTATTTATAATATATAATTTACGATAATCAAATTTAATTATCTATTGCAAATAAATTACGCTAATGATCGACAGTGTTCAACCCCACTCGAGCATCTCTGATGGAACGTGTTTTGGATTAGAATTAAGCCCATATAATAACAATTCCTTTGAACTATTGCAGCAGCCGCTGCTGCTGCTCTCCCACCATCATACGCATCTCAATTGCAACGCAAAAAGCTGACCAAAAACCTGCTTCGGGGTCGAGGCTCGTGTCGGACATGTTTTTCTGCGTAATTAGTGCTGCTCCCTTCCTCCTTCAGACTTTTGCTTATGTTCCGTATTGCTCTCCCGCTCCCTCTTCCTTTCACTTCCACTGTTCCGTTCTCACTAACGTAATTCGCATCCCTGTTTGAACGCAGCGAAGCGTTTGCTTTGGCGATTCCCGTTACTCGTTACTTGTTTCGCATTTTTGCTTTCTTTAACAATTTCCATTTGATTGCATTTCGACGCCGGTATGCGCACATACACATATATACGCATTTACACGCGCACACACAGCATTCATTAGGGTGACCAACGTCCAGTTTGTGCCTGAGCTTAACTGTCATTTCCATAAAATCCCACTGCCAGGCAAGCAAACACATACCCACATCTATTCCCACTCTCTTACACACACACTCATACGCCACTCACACACTCCACTCTCCCGCTCAGACTCTTCGAGCGACACGACGTATGCAAAACTTTCTCTTTGCATTTGAATTCCTCCACTTTTTCCTTTGCTCTATCTCCCTCTTTCTTGCCTACGGCTGCTCTGCTTGCCCATAATTATGAAGATGAATGTTCTTATTGCTTTTATATCCCTTGTATGCGTGTATGTGTGTTTGGTTAGCCTGCGTATGTATGTGAGTGTGTGTTGCTGCCCACATCCTCTATTAATAATGCCTTCGGTCACACTCTGCATACATACATTCGCTGAAATTTGTTGCCCTTTCCGCTTAGTTTAGACCACTAAAACTTTTCCAAATCACAGTGGAACGAATGTGATTAGGAGGTTATTGGATATAATAATATTATTCCCTTTAAATTGTTATTAGAAATATTAATTTTTTACTTAAATGCAAATATTTGTCGCGATTCAATATAATAAAAGTTATATATATTTTTAAATCCACTTTTCATTACTCTAGTCCCACTGTGCACTGGTTTAGCCCAGCTTTGCCTTACAAAGAAGCGCCTGCAACTAGCGTGCTCTACTACTACTCCTGCTTCTTCTTCTACTTCTTAGCACGCGTCGTTGAGCCGTCGCCGCAGCAGCAGCAATAATAAAGGAAAATCCGACAGGATGCTAATGCGTATTTAGTTATTTAGTTTGTGTGTGTGAGTGGGAGTATGTGTGGGTATATATGAGAGTGTGTGCAAGGGAGGTAAAGCATAGAGAGTGAGGCCTCGAAGCGTTTGTTTGTTTTATGCGCTGCTTCAGATAGAATTCATATGTGTGCGTGTGTGTTTGTGAATGTGTGTGTGTGTGTGCGTGTGTGTGAGGTATTAGCTCTCCCTTCACATATTTGCATATTATCGATTTTTGTTTGGAAAAGCCATTAAATTTGCACAAATGTTAGTTCGAGTTCTTTCCAATAGGCAGAGGAATAAATTATAATATGAATAGCCTAACTAATTTATCGGGTAGTAAACTATGCACAAAACATACTCTCGCTAACTTTGATCATTAAATGTATTTGAAATGAATAGAACAGAAATTTCGAAACAGGGAAATTATTTTTTTTGTTATATAAACATCACGGAGAGGTACGAATCTACTATGTGAAATCTTATGCTAATTTACCATAAATAGAACGAATTATAAAAAATATATATAACTTTTGGATCAATGGGAAAAATATTTATTTTTTATAAATTTAAAACATATTCAAATAATTATCATAATTTTGTATTTTTTAACTTCCATTTTTTCTTTCTAATAAATATTACAGTGTATTCTTGGCACTTTAGTTTAACTCTCTGGCGACCTTTAAGTTTTCCATATAATAAATACTTAGTCTAAACGATTCCTACGATTTAAGTAGCTTTTAAGCTTAACAAGCGGACGAAATGAAAAACTCAACTAAACAATTCGATTTGCGAACTGCTCGAAATTCGACACGAAACGTGGCCAAAAGCGCTTCAGAGCCAAATTGAGTTCAAGCATACAAAAAAAATAAAATAAAATAAAAAAATAAAAAAATGGCCAAGGCTGAGCCGAGAGGACCTAAGCGGATTTCAACAATTTAAATAGAATTTTGTATTTTCAGCTTTTTTCCTCTCATTTTTGTTTGTTAGAGGGCAAAATGTCAAAGATGAAACGACACGGGTCCAATTAGATTTGGCCAGGCACGCGAACCACCCGAAAAAGGCAGAAAACTCTGTGAGGTAAAGCATATAACCACCGCCCACCCATCTCCATTTACGTCTCCGTCTCCGCCTCTTCCATTTCCCTTCATAAAGTGCGTGGGATTTTTGAACAGTTGGCAAAAGCAAAAACATGCTCAAAGAATGGGCCACAGGAATTATGAAACATAATGAACTGAAAATCGAATTGGAATCGAGGTTGGCCTCAACTGCGCCTGGGGGAACAATTACGCAGAAGCAAGAGGCCGGAGAAGAAACACATCCTAAATGCTGGATATGTGGTCACAATTTTGACAATTAGTGGACGTGCATTACAATAACTGAACGGATGTGAATGTTAACTAGCTTTGACTAGACTTTTAACATATACATATATAAGAAATATCCTATAAAAAAGCCACCATATCTACCATATCTAGAATGTTCCTTAGAATACTAAACTTAATCACATTCATTAGTATTAACTATACTTTGCACCTATATTACATGGATTGGATTTGTAACAGAAAGATCCAATAAAACACTATACCATACTATACCATTTACATCTCACCATAACAGTCTAAACTATAAAAGCTTCTACTATAAGGGACTAAGTTATTATATAACAGACTGGGTTATCATCATATCATTGAAGACTTTGCTATAATAGATCTATATTAATATATCATTTTGATGATAGATCAATCAATTATAAGCGAAATAATTTTCATAAAGGCTTTAAAAAATCTAGATAAGATAGATCAAAAAAATAATATAATTATTATTATTATTTTTTTTTTTAACCAAAGATGCTTTGATAATATTATTAAAGTTGTACAGGAAGAAATTCAACAGGTTTATAAGATATATTTGTCGAATGCCTAACATACAGACATGGTTTACCATATCTATTTATATCTTTATAAAGAATCTGTAGTTTTAATATAGAATGCTTTTCAGATCTCTGGTAAACCTAAAATTTAAAATCTGATTACCACATCTATAAAGCTGTTATTAGAAGAATTAATTGGAATCATAATATGTATATAAAACTTGGGCTAAATAGGAAAATCAATAAATTATTAGCCGTACCTTATAAATTATTTATGTATATTTATATTAACAAAGGAATCTTTTGTGAGAAATTCTTGTAAATTGAAATTGTGTTTTTCATAAAATTTACGTCTTAGGAAAACAAGAGGAAATTTACGCAAAATTTACTTATATATGAATAGATTGTCATAGATATAGATATAGATATAGATATAGAAATATATAGCGAGAATGCATCGCTGGTTCTTTGCTAATGAACGAGAGGAGTGCGTGGTGCGCGAGGAGGCCGAGGAAGAAGGTCCTGCGGTGAACACCGAGGATGAGGCTGAGAAAGAGCTGCGGAAAATCGTCTATACCGACTGGCCGTTCTGTGTGACGACGGAATCCCCGCTGCAGGGCAACGAATATATGGCAATAACGGGAAATTGTGATTCGCTGGGCAATTGGAATCCCAAGGAGGTGTACCTAATGCTCGCAGTCGACTGCAAGTGCCGATGCGATTGCAAATGCATCAAATTCGAGGCGAAGGTGCGAATTCCGCGCAACAAAGATATCGAATATCGATATTGCATCGTCGGCTACGATCCCTTGATGGACGATGTGATCATACGCTTCTGGGAGGTGATGATAACGCCGCGCATTATCCGCACTTGCCACAATATGTTGAAGGATTGCGATGCATTCGGCAAGATCGATAGGGACGCCCTGGAGCCGACTGTGGATCGTGGCTGGGTCACCACGGAAACGATCGTCCAGTTCAAGATCTTCAATGCGCCGTTCTATTGGCTGAAGCAGGCGCCGCGACTGCTCTACATCTATATACAACCGATGTTTGAGACGTCGCCAGAGCAATGCCTAAACCAAAGCTCGGAACCCGTCCGACTGACCCTAGCAGAAGCGGGTCGTCGCTCTACGGCGCCGAGTCAACAGAATCAGCGACTCGCATTCACCGAGGTGGCCAATCTCAATCTGACCGAGAAGCTACAGTTCCAGCCGAAGAACGGTGTTCGCTGTGGTCCGCAGGATCTGCAGCTGTATCACTTCTCGCTGTCCCATCCGCTGGAGACGCTCTACCGCATCGATCTCTACACGTACGCCTATAAGGCTGCCTCGGATGAGCCCTCGTATCACTATGGCTATGGTTTCATACAGCCCGAGGAGCTGCACGACTCGGAGGGCGAGCTGCGCATCAACATCAACTGTGCGTCCACGCATCGCCCGTTGATCGAGATGAGTTTGCAGTATCTGATCGTCCGGCCGACGGAGAGCATCAACTGTGACCTGAGTCTGACCTACGAGCGTTTCTGGCGGGAGAAACATTTGCCCATGGATATCGGACATCGGGGCTCGGGCTGCACCTATCGCCTGGGCGACGATGTTTATCGCGAGAATACGCTGTTCGCGTTCAAGCGGGCGGCGGCCAGCGATGCGGACATGGTCGAGCTGGATGTGATGCTAACGAAGGATGCCCAGGTGGTGATCTACCATGATTATACGCTCACCTTTGCTCTCTGCTCGGCCTGGTGTGTGGAGAAGCTGTTGGTGAACTACGATGTGATGGTCATGCCGCATGAGCACTTCAATCGCAGCCGGCTCATGGCCATGGGGGGCCGGAAGCGCGGCGATACGATTATAGTACCCTTCGATTCCTTCTACTACGAGGAACTGCGACTCGTGCAACCCTTGCGTTATGTCTCCTCGGCCAGCGGCTGCTCGGCCAATTGTGAGAAGCATTTGCTGGATCAGATGCCCTTTCCGCTGCTCAGCGATATCTTCAACGATGATCTGCTGTCGCTGCCCCCCAGAGTGGGCGTCAATGTGGAGGTGAAGTGGCCGCAGATGGATACCAAAGGACGCTGGCAGGACTCCAGCTCGAAGCCAACGTTCGATCGCAACTACTATGTGGACACGGTGCTCGATGTGGTCTTTCGCTGTGCGGGCAAACGTCGCATCATTTTCTCCAGCTTCGATGCGGACATCTGCATTATGTTGCGCTTCAAACAGAACTATTATCCCGTGATGCTGCTGCTACAGAGTCCGGATCGACCCATTCAGTTTGCCGATCAGCGTGTCAATACGCTGGAGAATGCCGCCTACCTCGCCTGCATCATGGAGATGTTTGGCCTGAATTTCCACACAACCACCTTGTTCAAGCAGCCCCTCATATTGGGGCACATCAAGGACCTGCATATGCAGGGCATTGCCTGGGGCTCCGAGACGGCCGATGTTGATATCAGGGATAAACTGAAGCGATATGGTGTCATTGGTGTCACCTACGATCGCATCGATCAGAGCAATCAAGTCGGCGATGAGCTGGAGGGCTACATCTACTGCATCGATTCGCTAGCGACGCGAAATCATGTGAAGAATCTCATCGAAACCGAAAAGATTGTCAAGTGTGCGAGATAGAGCTGCAACAAGAGAAAGGCAGACAGAGAGAGAGAGAGAGAGAGAGAGGAAATAGAGCGATAGAGTGCCGCAACGAGAGACAGAAATCGCATTGGTTTTATTCTTAAAGAGTTTTTTACAATGGCACATATCAGGAAATTTGTTTTATAAAAGTCAAATTCTTCTAAGTAAAATATATAATATATACCTATGTACACTATTTTTATAAAAAGTTTTTTAAGGATTAAAACTTCACTGGGAATTGGATAATTTTTAGAAGATAATGTAGAAATCTTCATTTTCTATATACAAATTATACATTTGCTTTCTTTAGCTTTCAGACTCTCAAATATCGAAACCTTAAATAAAAAAAAAAAAATAAAATGATCTGTTTTATCAAAGTCTTATAATGATCTATAGAACTCTTTTTTAGTATAGCAAGAGTGATACGATTTATAGCATAATTTTAAATAGCTTGATGTCTGAAATTAATTGAGTTCATTCTTCCTCTTCGTCTAGCTCTCATTTGGTAATCTTTTTAAAAAGGATGCTGCATGTTGCTCAATGTGAATTTCTGACTAATTATATGATAATTATTATAGAATAAAATAATTATTAAGATGAATACGATACTTATTCTTAGTAAAAGCTAAGATCCTTTACTCCACCTGACGAGATTTCTAAAGTTCCATGTTCCATTAGTATTTGGACTACATACAAGTTTTCGATCTAAAATTTGTTCCAAATTCCCATTCGTCTCCTCAATTAATTACAATTAAGTACTTCAACTCCAGCCACGCCCCTTGCATTTAACAGTATATCAATGCAGAGGCTTTTCGTGAAGCCACCCCGTTTGATATCATAAGTGTCATCACCAAGCACACACACACACACACACACGCACAGTGGAACGTGTTAAAGTCATAAAACACATTAAATCCAATCGAATAATCGAAATGTCACATTAGTTTCTAAAATATGGCCGGACAGCACGTAAGAAAGCATTTTTTGGCCCCGTCTATTGCTACGCTACCTAAGCTCCCCCCATGCTACCTATGCCCCGGTTCCCGCCCGCACCCACCTCTAACGAGCACACAAATGTGCCCAAAAAACAAGCCAAAAAACGGAGGAAAAAAACTCTTTGGTAACAGCTTTTGGCCTACGATTTGTTTTTGCCATCTTTTTTTTTGCCATTTCCTTCTTTCATTCTATTGGCTTGCATTTTCCATTCCATTATCCATCTCTTGAGCAACAGTCGCTCTTCCCTCTTTCACATTTCCTTTCGGAGTCCTGTGGGTATAATTTTAATGGTCGAATCGCTTTTGGGGATTTGCTGCGTTGTTTTTTGTCTATCTCATGTTTTTTTGTTTTCCTTTCTTTTCTTTCTCGAAATGGAAATTGCTTTCCATGGCCAGCAGACCTGCGCCATAGAAATTGGCATTGAAAACGCATAAAAATAAATAATTCTCCATTTCGCATCTCGCATTTACAAATTCCGATTTTCGTCTTTGAGCGCCAAGATTTATGCTCAGCTCTCTGCTCTAGCTTGAGGGCTAAGATCTCTTCTTCTTGTTTTTTTGGGAGCATTTTTGTATAGTCAGAGTGCAAGACAATTGCCAACTTGGGAATTTTAGATTACTTTAGTTTGTTGCGTTTGGATTAAGCCCATAAATCTGGCATAATTTTAATGTTAACGTTAGGGGTTGAGGATTTTTTTTTTCGGGATTTTAATGAACACGTTTTGTTAGGTTTATAAAATGGTGCACTAAGAGATGATAGATGAATATTTTTATAGGATTGATATATATTCCTTTTAGGTCTAGGTCTATTTTCATTAAAAATATTTTTGAAATATTCATTTTCATGATATTTCGATAAAGTTTCTACCATTCTAAAATGACTGTTTTTTTTTTCTTTACAATTTTTTGGGAAGGCATTTAAGATATTCGTTACCTTTTGATTTAAAATACTTAATATTTTTTAAATGCAAAATTTTCAAATAGAAAACAATTTGGTAGGCATCTTCAGATATTTGCCAAAGTCCTCACAAAATTGCGTGGAACATGTCCCCCCTCTTTTACATGACCCTCCCATAAACATTCATTTTCACTTCACTTTAGTTGGCAACTCTGGCAGGAGTAGGGGGTGGGGAGGATTCGCTACACTGTAACTGTAACTTTAACTCATTTGTATGCCAAACAGCAACAGAACTAAAAGTTCCTTTTTTTTCCCTTGCACTTATTACTTATTACTGGACACACACACGCCAAGCAGGATCAGGAGCAGAAGCAGGAGCAGGAGAAGAAGGAGGCGGCGAGGAGAAAAACCCTAGACATGTGAGACATGGAAATTCATCATCAAAAATGAATAATGTCTACACTTAATGCGACTATAGCCGAGCCACCCTCAAAAAGATTGGACTCTGAATACTCTGGACATTCGGGATAAGCACAGCAACAGCATCGCACCCCGAACCCAATTTGCACCCCATCAAAAAGGCGGGCGTGAAGCCAAGTGGCGTGTGGGTGGGGGGCGGGGTATGCCTGAAAGACAGCTGAGTTTGGAAGGGGCTCTGGCATCTACTTTCGACACTGCGCAGAAAGGTTGCTTGAATATTAATTGTAAATATGTGGAGTCGGTCGAGTGTGCGGCCCGAAGAACGAAACAAATGTGCAAACTTAGAAATGCAGGCGACGTGCAAGGACATGTCTACAAGCCCAGCCAAAAAGGACATGCAGTATGAGATATACATATATGTACATATGTATGTGAGCTGGGGCAACTTGTCGGCGTCTAATAGATTTTTGTGCTAGCTCAAGATAAAAACGATGCACAGACAGAAAAGGAAGCTGTCAAAAAAGTCAGATGAAATCTGATGTCGACGTAAAGGGATTATTGAGTGCGCTACGCGACGGCTATCAGAAATGAATGTGTCGGTAGCTATACGAAGAACTATTAAAATGAATAACTAAAAAAATATATAAATAAATTGGTTTTATGTTGGAATGACTATTTCATATAGAAAGTATTGAATAATGAAGTTGCTTTGAATAATGATTCATCAATACGTAGTTGATTGTCGCCAGTCTTTATAAATCTCAGCATATAGAAAAGAAAACATACAAAGTTAAATGAAAAACCGCAGAAAAGCGTTTTCTCAAAGTTAAAGAAAAAAGACAGCTTAGGCAAAGCTAGATATTAGCATACAGGGGTCTTATCCAGAATGCGTTCTGCATAATTTCATAGATAAGTGGAATTTTAACAGTTTTTACTCCATAGTAAAGACAGTTGATGGATAACGAAGAGTATTGCTTGATCTAGATGATGATCTAGATAAATCAATCTAGCCAAATTCGTCTTTACTGTTTGTATATGCAGTCAGCTCTTAAGAAACATAAACTAGAGACTTGAAAATCTTCAATATATATTTCTCTTATAAATTTGCATTACCAACAGCTTTATACTTTTAATAAATGATAATGATATATGATGATAATGCAGATAAATGATAATGGTAAAGTATATCTAAATATACATATATTTACTGTCATGTATATATTTCTTTAGGGTCTTTCCTGATCAAACCTATCTGACTAGTGTATTTGCACTTTTTTAGTTCGTGTAATGTCCTCAATTAAATTCCTAATGCTAAATAATTTCCAGAGCAACTTATATTTTTAACTACTTGGCTTAAAAATTACTTATTCATAATCTATCTCCATTTGCGCGTATTTTCGAGAGTAGGTAAAATTTATCATAAATTTCTTTGTCTGCAATTAAACATAATTAGACAACTCAAATGTCCAACGTTCATTCAGTTATTTTCACATGGAGCCCATATGCTCAATATTTCTATTGGTAGCGCATCTTCTGTCTGGAAGCCAGCCTAAGAGGCGGCAACAGATTTTCTTTCACTTATTATTATTGCCATGACCTTAAACCTCACCTATCAATTTAATGTACATGCGATGGGTTCATCAATTGAAGCCCCGCTAAAAACCATGTCTCTGGCTGGATTTAGCAGTTATCTATTTACTAAATAGTTGCCTGTTTTTTTTTTTTTCCATGGCTCAATCACGAATTTAATGAGCTTTGAAATTGTTTTTTGTGGCTAATTTAGTTTGAAATCGAAATACGCAATCGAAATCGAATCGCGCACCCAATTGTTCGGTTCGTCTTCTTCTTCTTTTCTCGTAATGCTTCCGATAAATAATGTGCAATTAATATGTAACACGTTAGTCGGTTCAACTCTAGTTAATGGCCTCCACTGTCGGTTGGGGCGCCGGCCATTTGTCAATTTTGATGGGCGTGCGAATGCCATAAAAAAGCGACATGTCTAACAAAAAAGTAGGCAGAGTTCTGCAGAGTACTATAAAGAATGATCGACGAGTAGATACTCAGTAATTAGAATTTTGTATATAAATATTAGAATTTCTTGTAGACTTTTCCAGGAAACCAATGTTGAAAATATGATGTTTGGATGGCAAAATTTTGATTGCTTTATATGGAGGTACTAGGCTTACTTTCTTAGATCATTTTTATAAATATTGAGAATTTAATATATGTCGATGAGAAAATAGTCCAATCTTTTAAACAGCTGCTAAACTCTAAAGATATATATATATATATATTGCACTAAAACTTATTTTAATTGCTATGGAGTCATGGAGGCAGAATTTCCTAAAATTAAACATTAAAATATACTATATTATTTGTAGTATATTTTTATGATATATAATGAGATTTAAAATGTGAGTAACTTGAGCTATGTATATCAATGTTGATCTAGTATTTGCGAGGACTCTTCAAAAAGTATCTTGAATTTTTATTGAATATATTTAAGTAAGATATATATAATTATTGATATTCATGCTTTAGATTTAAAGATGCTTTATTAACTTAAAACTTTCTCTTTTAAAATATCTCATAAAACTTTCATATATTTTGTTCACATTTTAATTATTTTTCTAGTATTTATTTCGAGCTTTTATCACAACTTTTTGACATTTTCAAGCCTCAGT